AAGTGTTTGGAAACTCAGCTCTAGTTATATATCACTTGAAAAGAGAATGGAAGATGAGAGATTCAAAATTCGTTTCATATTATAAGTATATTTTAGAGTTGATAAAATAATTTGAAGATATTCAGTTTGACCATTTACTTCGAAAAGAGAATATGATTGTTGATGTATTAGCTACTATGGCTGTAATGATTCAAATTAATGATAATACTGACATTCAGCCCATCAGACTAGATGTTAAGGATATGTCAGCTCATTGTTCCAATGTAAAAGAGGAAGAAGATGGGATCTTACAGTATATTAAAGATTAGCAATATCCAGTTCAAGCAACAAAAAATGATAAAAGGGTCATCCGAAGATTGACTATGAGCTTTTTCTTAGATGAAGATGTTCTGTAAAAAAAAATCAGGATCAAGTATTACTAAGGTGCATAAGTAAGGCTGAAGCGAAAAAAATCATTGAAAAAGTGCATGATGGAATTTGTGGGGCACATACCAGTGGACATATGATAGTGAGACAGATCATGAGAGCAGAGTATTACTCGTTGATAATGAAGAGTGATTACATTGACTATGCTCGTAAGTGTCATAAATGCCAAATATATGCTGATAAGATCCATGCTCCGTCATCTGTTTTACATGTTATGACACCACCTTGACCATTCTCAATGTGGGCCATGGATGTCATTGGTCCTATAACCCCAAAGGCTTTTAATGGGCATAGATTTATTTTTGTGATGATAAATTATTTCACAAAATAGGTGAAGGTAGCATCATATGCAAGTGTAACACGATATATGATTTGTAAGTTCATAAAGAAAGAGATCATCTGTAGATATGAACATTCAAAAAAAATTATTTTAGACAATGCCAAGAATCTAAATAGTAAGATGATGCAAGAAATATATACTCAATACAAGATCAAGTATCATAACTCGACACCATACCATCTGAAAATGAATGGAGCAGTTGAGGCAGCTAACAAAAACATAAAAAGAATTCTTAAAAAGATGACTGAGACTTATAAAAATTAACATGAGAAGTTACCATTTGCACTGCACGTATATCGAATATCAGTGCGTACCTCTACTGGGCAACCTCATTTTTTTTGGTTTATAGGATGAAAACTATACTATCGGTGAAAGTAAAAATCCCATCCTTGAGGGTTCTAAAAAAAGTTAAGTTGAAAGAAGCTGAATGGATTCGAGAGCGTTATGAATAGTTAAATTTCATAGAAAAAAAAGATTGATTGCACTGTATCATGGTCAGCTATATCAAAAAAGAATGATGAGGGCTCATGATAAAAATATTTGACCTCGTTGCTTTTGAGAATGAGAATTGATCTTGAAGAGAATCCTTCCAATCTAGCACAATAGTGAGAAAAATAGACTCTAAATTGAGAAAGGTTGTATATGATGAGACGGGCTTTTTCAAGTGAAGCACTGATACTAGCTAAGATGGATGGAAATGATTTACTCCATCTTATAAATTCTGATGTTGTGAAGAAATACTATGCTTGAAATGAAAAAAAATGAAAATGAAAAAAAATGAAAAAAAAAAGTGAATGAAAAAGGAAGACTCAAGGTGAAAATCCTAAAAGGGCAGTTTGAGTCATAGGGGGTTTATCTAAGTTGAAAACCTAAAAAGGTAGCTTAGATAAAGAGAATACAACGTCAAATTTGAAAATCTATTGGCATAGAGGTTAGCAAATTTAGAGGAGCTCTGAGTTGTTAAATGCATCAGATGGTTAGATTTTTAGAAAAAATCTTGAGATGTGTTATCATGATTGTCCGATTGTTCATTTTTGGGCTTTGTCTCCCATTCTTATCCTTGTAATTCTTTCTTGGCCAAAGTTTGCCAACATTTTGCTAATAAAAGATATTTTATTTCACTCTTTGTGTCCCTCTTCTGGTGACTATTTCTTAACCATTCTTATTCTTTTCTTCTTAATACCCTATAATGGAAGAAATGTGCAAATGCATTCTTACTTTTTGAGTTTGAAATAATGATTGATGAATGAATAATGGCATGAAAGATTTTTACATTACATTGAAAAAGTTAAGAGTGATAAAGGTAGAATCGAGATGTTCAGTTTTTGATAAGGACATTGAATTTGGAAAGAGATTTCTTACAGGAAGAATGTGAGTGGAAAAGATGATTGAGAGCTACACTGGCTCGATCTTAGAAGAGCAGCGTAATTGGGTCTTTGAAAAATCAAGGGTTCGAGGCCCAAGAAAAGAGCTTAAAAAATTTGAGTACCATAATTGAATAAGAATCAAGTATCCAACATTCGCATAGCATGCATTGAATTTCACATGCATTGCATAGCATATACTACATTCAAGAAAATATAGTGCATAAATTCAGGAAGCAAGGATATTCCAACATCCCACATAGAGAAAACAGATGTGAAAACATTTTCAAATTTGAGAAAAAGCTTGTCAGGTAAGTTTCTAATCCTTGAAATAGGATGTCTCTCGGTATCAGGATTGATTTGTAAGACCTTTGGGCATAATCTCCTGAAATTCCTTCAAACACGATTTTCAACTCTTTTGGACATGATTGTCAATGAGCTTTATTTATTTTTAAAGTCGTAGAGCCTCTAATTAAATGAGCAATCTATTCTTCAAAGTTGTGATGCCTCTATTTAGAGGAGCCGTTTATTTTTAAAAAGTCGTTGAGCCTATGATTAGAGGAGCTTTGTTTATGTTTTTCAAAAGTTGTTGAGCCTCTGATTAAAGAAGCTTTGTTTATCTTTTCAAAAGTCGTTGAGCCTCTGATTAGAAGAGCTTTAATTATTTTCAAAGTCGTTGAGCCTCTGATTAGAGGAGCTTTAGTTATTTTCAAAGTCGTTGAACCTCTGATTAGAGGAGCTTTATTTATTTTCAAAGTCGTTGAGCCTCTGATTAAATGAGCATTGTTTATGTTTTTCAAAGTCGTTGAGCCTCTACTTAGAGGAGTTTTGATCAAATCTTTAACACAAAAAAATGAAAAAAGAGATCGAGTTGAGTCTTGAATGGGTGTCTACGTCTTTGTGTAATTTTTGTTTCACAGAAAATGTGCAAAGAAGGACAGCTGTAGACACCCAATTTGGTCCAGGCCCGAATCAATTGGGCCTGGTCCAAATGGGTAGGCCTATTTTATTTTTTATTTTGTATTATATATTTTATTATTTTTGTTTTTATTTTATATTTTATATTTTTTCCTTTGTATCTTATGTATTTATTGTTTATTTATTTATTTATTTTTTTATGTTAATATATATTTATTATTACTTAGCTATTTATATATTATTATATATGTATTTATTATTATTTATCTACTTATATATTATAATTTATCTATTATTTATTTTTATTTATCTGTTAATATTTTCATTTATATGATTATTTTCTTTTTAATTATCTATTAATATTTTATTTTATTTTATTTTCTTTTGAGTCTGAGATTGGAATGAATTTGGGGAATCCTATCGTGAATTTGAGATTCAATCAGAGTTCATATTGGATTCAATGATCGAATCCCAATCCAAGGAGGAGTTGAGATTGATCAATTCCTATAAATAGATCCACGGATAAAAAAAACAGAGAAAAAGACAGACACTGGCTAAGAAAAAATGAACAGAGAAAACAGAAGCTAAAAAAACGGTTTTGGTGCATTAGAATAGCTCTAGGAATTGGTGGGAATTTTTTTGGATTTTTGGCAATTTTTTCTGGAAATTTTTAGAAAATTTTCAGATTTCGATTGAATTTTTCGACGAGGTTTGAATTTTTCGATGACTTTTCCCGTCAAGTTTGAATTTTTTGACCAGCTTTTCAATTTTCGGTGACTATTTCCAGAAATCGATTAGTTTTTCGATGAACTTCCAGTGAAAAACCCAGATTCTGATGAAAATTTCCAGAATTCGACGAGATTCAACCGAAGTTTTTCGTGGTTTAGAGAGAAGGGAGAAGAAAGGAAGGGAAGAGAGAGAGGGAAGGATCGGTCTGCTAAAAAAATAGAAGGAATAGCCTTTTATACCCGTTGAAAACGACATCATTTTGGCGTTACTGTGCCCAGAGGATCCGCATGTTTTGAAATCAGACGACCCGACCCGAGCGTCAACCCGCGTTCAACCTGAGTATGAGTCGTTTCCGAAGCCGAGCCGAGCCGAGTCTCGTCTTCGAGCCGTCTTTTCTTCCTCAAGCTGCGCTAAGTCGAGCCATTAAGCCGAGCCGTTCTCAGGCTTTTTTTATTATTTATTTATTATTATTATTATTATTTATTGATTAGATTAGAATTGTTTAATACTTTTTATTTTTTATTTTTTAAAATTTTATTTTCTTTAAATAAAATTCAAAAATATATATTTTTAAGGAAAAGTTGAAAGTATCAATTTTCTTTGAGAATAAGTCTTTTAAAAAAATATATTTTTGAGAAAAAATTGAAAGTATCAATTTTCTTTGAAAATAAACTTTCTAAAAAATATTTTTGAAGAAAAGTTGAAAGTATCAATTTTTCCTACACAAAAGCAATAATTTTTTTTCCTTTTTACTTTCTTAAATTTTTGTTTAAATGTTAAATAATCCGACGATGAAACCTCTGTAAGTAAAACAGTAGTTTTCTTGTATACTTTTGAGATGAAAGAATTTTTTCAATTTTCTGCTAAAAGTATTAGAGTCAATTGAGAATAATTTTTAATAATTAATTACTTGGTAAATTTTTAAGGCTTATTGGATAACACAAAATTAAGCTGGTATCATTTTTCGATTGGCATTATGAAGGTGTTATAACCTTTCTCATCCGTAATCGAACTCCCGAACTTTATTCTAGTTAGTAGACTTGAATCTATTCTTTTAGGAACCTTTAAGTTTAGGTGTTCCTTAAAAGGATAGATTTTTTAGGTGGTCAATTGCATCTAGATAAAAAAGATTGATAATGATTCTTTCAAATCAATATCTAGTAATAAATCTTCGGATTTAGACGTTATGACATAAAGCAAAATAGAATCAATGAAAGATAAAGAACCAAATAGAAAGCCAACCATTTGCGGCTGTTTTTCATTAGAAACTTGTTACTATTAGGAAACGCATATAGGAGATTGAGATTGAAGACATTGCATTTGATGGCAGACATAGTGGGGGAAAGAAGAAACTTAGAATGTATAGCAAGAAATTAAACTTGGTGCCATTTGGACCGCATAACTTGTGGTTGTTGTGCTTTCTGGTGGGTTCGAGGATTTTCATTTCCAACGTTCAATGGGTTTCAACATTCTACTTTCTGAAAGGATTATAAGTTGGGGGCTCCTGCTTTTTGGGTCCTCTGGGTTAGCCCAGATTATGACATAGATTGCCCTGCTTGGACTTAAACTGGATGATTCTTTGCACTTAACAGACTAATCTTAAGGGCAGAATTTGGAGCACTATATGTGAAATTATGCTGAATCGATGCAGTGGATTAATTAAAGACACGGCAAGAAATAGAAAGTCATTAGCTAAAAGAGACAAGAAACCGTCTAGCCCGTGATTAATAAAGAAATTCATTGTCAGCCAACTAACTGTTGCAGAACTAAAAAAAGTCAGAAATGTTGGTTCACGGACAAAGGGGGAAAACAAATGGGGGTAAGTGCCGTGATCAGATTTGACACGTCAAGAAATAGATATTTCCTTTGGAAACTATTCTGCTTGGCAATATTAGTGGAGATGAATTCTTTTTCTTTTAAGCAAAATGCATCCACACAAATTTGAACATTAGGTCAGTCATTATTGGCATTATTCATTAAACCTCGTCCTTGGTCCTCACAGACTTGATAACTTCCACTAGAGAAAGAAAGAGAAAGAGGAAGACAGTTCCAACCAGTTTCAATGGAAAAGCTGCTCTTATTCTTGCCATTGTTTCTTCTCCAGTTCTATCCGGTTCTAATTCTCTCAAAACCTTATAGTTTTCCAGATAAATACTTCATCAACTGTGGGTCAGATTCTATTGTGGTACTAGGCAGCAGGCAGTTTGTCGGTGACAAGAATCCTAATTCCTTCTCTGTTGGAAATAGCAAACCTGTCAAAAACATCAGCCAGTCATCAGACTCAGTTCTCTACCAAACAGCAAGGTTTTCTAGAGGCCAATTTTCATATGATCTCCACATCATTGACAAAGGCCTATATGTGGTACGCCTTCATTTTTTTCCTTTCATGTCCAACGAGGCTAATCTAGTCGATGCTTTATTCAATGTTTCAGCTTCCAAAAAGTCTCTGGTATCCAAGCTCATTTTCAGAAATAGTAGTTCTTTCCCTGTGATTAAGGATTACTTGGTGCCTATCAATTCAGCCAACTTTAGAATTCACTTCATCCCTGCATATCAAACATCTTTTGCTTTTGTGAACGCTATAGAAGTTTTTCTTGTTCCAAATCTTAAAGATAACCGAACTCATGTGACTTGGGCAGGAAGTAAGGGTCCTTACCTAGGTTTGCCCTCTCAGGTGCTTAGAACAGTTCGGAGAGTTATTGTTGGGGGCGAATCCTTTAATGACACAAAAGTAGTTGCATCAGAATGGGTATCTGATGATGACTATATATTTATTGGAAATTCGGCAAAAACCTGTCTGCCGAACTTTGGGCTAAACTATGAAGATGAAGATGAAACTACAGATGATAAAAACTACAACTTAGCCTCTCAAAACTTTGTCCCAGATCGGGTCTATGGTACTTGCAGAGAAGTAACCTTAGATAATGGACAAGCATCAAATTTTACTAACATTACTTGGCATTTCACTGTCAATAAAAATGCCAGGCATCTTGTTCGGGTCCATTTCTGTGACATTATTAGTGAATCACCAAACATAGTCAATTTCAGTCTCTTTATATTCAGTAAATTCAGTGAACAAATCAATCCTTATGAGAACGGTTATATTTCTAACACGGCAGTTCCAATCTATTATGATTTTGTGGTTGACTCGGGTGATTCTGACTTTATTAGTATAAGTGTTGTCCCTTGGGAGGAATCAACCCTGAGAAACTTTGCTTACCTGAATGGACTGGAGATCATGGAGTTCATCACAGAACCAGGTTTGGAACTCGGGAAAAGTGAGCCAAAAAGGAAGCATGTACTGTTTATCATAATTGGTTCAGTCGTTGGGTTTCTTGTTATCTGCAGTTTGATTGTGGTATTCTTGTTGTGTAAGAAACGCAGAAAAACAAATCCTTTTGAACACATGACTTCATATGGAACCCTTCCTTTTGGAGGAGCGAGCCCTCACGTTGGAATAAGTTCAAAATCTGTCAATCCCCCTCCTGTTCCAAACTTAAACCTTAAATTAAAGATGCCTTTTACTGAAATAATGGAGGCAACCAATAACTTCGAGGCTAAATTGCTGATCGGGGAAGGAGGCTTTGGTAAAGTTTATAAAGGAACTCTACGAAATGGTCTCAAAGTGGCAGTCAAACGAAGCGAGTCGAAGCATGGTCAGGGCCTTCCAGAATTCCAAACTGAGGTCATGGTTCTATCCAAGATTCGACATCGCCATCTTGTTTCCCTGATTGGTTATTGTGATGAAGGGTCTGAGATGATACTGGTATATGAGTTCATGGAAAAGGGCACTCTCAGAGATCATCTTTACGACTTGGGTGGGAATCCAGAGAGATCATCTCCATTATCTTTATTGACTTGGAGGCAAAGACTTGAAATTTGTATCGGTGCAGCAAAGGGTCTTCATTACCTCCACACTGGTTCAGATGGAGGAATCATTCACCGTGATGTTAAATCCACTAACATCTTGCTTGATGAACAATATGTGGCAAAAGTTGCAGATTTTGGCCTTTCCAAATCAGGTCTTCTTGATCCAGATGGGTTCAGCACGGGCGTAAAAGGGAGTTTCGGTTATCTTGATCCCGAGTATTTTAGATGCCTTCAGTTTACGGAGAAATCAGATGTTTATTCTTTTGGTGTGGTACTCCTTGAAGTGCTTTGTGCTAGACCGGCTATCATTAACTCACATAGGAAGGAGGAGATAAATTTAGCTGAGTGGGGACTGCTTTGGTTAAAGAAAGGTGAACTTGAAAAGATTATCGATCCTTCGGTGGCTGGCCAGATTAATCCTAATTCATTGAGGAAATTCAGTGAAATAGTTGAGAAATGTCTGAAGCCAACTGGAGCCAATAGGCCTAGAATGCTTGATATCTGCTGGGACTTGGAATACACATTGCAGCTACAGCAAACTGCAGTGCGCAGAGAGCCACACGAGGATAGCGCCATAGATGCTTCTCTGGACTTGTCATCACGTCCTTTTCAGCGTTTGCCTTCGAATAACTTCCTGATTGAGAATGATGCTGTGCCTATGGAAAAGGATGATGGTTCTGACACAACAGCTAGTGGAGTTTTTTCCCAGCTGAGGATTGATGGTGGCAGATAGTCTCAGCCGGCTGGTAATTTGTCTTTTTAGTTAATACTACTCTTTCACTATATTGATGTTGAATGCATCTTTTGTTCTAAAAGAGCAGTGTAAAATAAGAAGCTCTGACCTCTTTATACTTAAAGTAGTTTCAAGTAATCTCAGAACAGACAATGAATGCATTGAGTTTTGAATCTCAAGGAAATTTGTTGAACAATCAATGAAGATTCCTTAGATTGAAACTTCATTCACCTATCAGAAATGGTAGAAATGTTTTCTTTGAGTTAAAACACATTTATATTAGTGCAGCCTCAAATGAAACAAGTCCCAAAGTTGCTAAATAGCTGGAGGCACATGATTTAAGCACTGGATTTTACTAATAGTTTTTTTTAATTCCATAGTTACAGGAACTTGTTGAATCTCATTACTTTTGCATCCCGTGTGCTCTCCCAAAAATTTTTGCAAATCACGGGATCTTCAAAATAAATCATCATATGACTTTAACATTTCTCATTAGAAACATTAGTGAGATTTAACCTGCCAAGAAACTATAAGCTGGCAACTAAAGATCACCTTCAAGCCATGTCCAATTAACATATCTCTGATACAGGATATATGGAACTCGCTTTCTAATGTGATTGCTTGAATAGCATGATTTTTATTTTTTCAGTAGCATCATGATATTGCAGACGGGTGATTAATTGTTAACTGAACTAAAGAATTTTTGCTTCAGATTAGCAGAAGGGTTAAAATGTCATGAGACTTGCGGATAAATTTTAGCTCTCTTCACTATTGAAGATTTCCACAAAAAGAAAATGTCATTTGAAGATGAATTTTCATTATTTTTTTAAAATATCATCAATTTCAACTGCTCTAAGTGATATGTAAAAGACCAATGTTATTTGTTACTGATAAAATCTGTACTCAAATTGGACATATCTTCCACAAAATTATTGAAATTAAATTATTTCATTCTTTTCCAATGCTGTGTCATGATTAATTTTTGAAGTTCCATAAAAAAAAAAAAAATCACAGCTGTGGTTGTTAGACCTCATTGCTTGTGACTTCTTCTCTAATCAAATCTTTCAAAAAGGCCAGTTTTTTCTCACCACTTTCTGGGAAGGATCAGAATATTGAGTATGAACGCAATCACTTTGGTTCTTTTCCACACCGGGGATTAGGTTTTTATATTGCTTCCTTATTAAAGTGACCCAGAAAAAGAAAACCGTACTTTTTAGACTGCCTCCTCCAATTATTCATATACTTTAAGAGGCTCTCAAATCTTTTTCGAATCCGCATTAAGGAAAATGCAACAATTTCCGGTTTCCAAAGCCAAAAGTAAAGGGAAAAATGTACTAGTAAATTCTTTAACTGACGTGAGTCAGTGAAAAAAAAGGGTTAAAATATTACCTTAATGCATCGTATGGAGACAGACAGGTTCTGAAACCTTTTTTTTTTTTTTTTATGGATTACATAATTTATATGGGACTGCTATGTCAATCATGTGTTTCACATACACCTTCACTATTTTCCCGCTTAAAATACAAGTCAACAACTACTTTATCTATCGGTAACAATTTTTAAAAGTCTAAATTTAATTTGATTTGTATTGATTCTCGGCAACCTTTATTCGGTTTCAAGGTGTTGTTAACCTTCACTTCCACTGAAAAAAAGTTGGCTACTGCCGTCTCATTTCTCCTATGGAAAAGCTTCATCACCTAGAGACTCTTCTGCCATTATTTGTTCTTCGCCTTCCCCTCCAATTCTTTTCTCTTCTGCCTCTAGCATCAGCTTACACGATTCCGGATGAGTTCTTCATCAACTGTGGATCAAGGTCCGACTTCACAGGCAGTAGAAACCGGAACTATATTGGTGACCTGAATTTTGGCGTTTCCTTCATTGTAGGATAAAGCAGCCGTGTCTCGGATGTAAGTCCCTTGGCAGGCATATCTCTACTCTATCAGTCTGCAAGAATCTACCCACAACCTTCTTTTTATAAGTTTGTAATCAACAAGAATGGCACCTAGTTTGTACGTCTCCATTTCTTTGTTTCTTCATCTGATTCAAATCTAGCCAATGCTATATTCAATGTTTCAGCTTCAGGATTTTGGTTATTATCAAATTTTGTTAGAGAAATAAATCACATTTAGAGTTTATGGGAGCATATCAGAGAGTCTATATATACATGTTAGACAATACTTGAATCCAAAAACTTAAACTATTAGATTGTTAGGTCTTTCATGCATATATAGGACGTTTCATTTAGATTTTTTGAGATTTTTTACTCACATTTGAATCATATTCCAATAATATCCTCCTTGTTCACTTGTGAGTTCCCAACAATGTCCTACCTCGGCTCTCCCGTGTGTTTACCTTCCAATAGCTTTCCAGCCGTTGATGAAGAAAACGAAACTGTAGTATTTGATGATGCTTCAGATGTAACTACTAGTGAAGTATTCTCAAATTTGAGAATTGGTAGATAATCTCCATTCGTTTAAAGGTAAAACTATATTTTGTAACTGCAATTTATTTTTGGGTATATTTTTTCTGTTTTATCTGCTTTCAACGAGTCTTGATGCAGTAAAACGACTCACATCCAGGATGATTTGTGCATTGCTAAATTATAATAGAAATCACCTTTGAAAACATTTTCTTTTCCTTTTCTCTCGTTTTAGGACACATTCTTGTGTCTTATCAACGACAGACCTTGCAAACCAAATATGACAGAATTTCAGTTTTACAGGACTTTGGAAACCCCATCAAAGTGCTTGGTTCAGTGCAGCTATCCAAGTAATCTCTTGTCTTACTGGTTTTCAGTTTCTATATCAGTCTGGAAATAGGTTAGTTTGTAGTGGTTGGCTCCTAGAATGATGCCAATAAAAACATGGAAGGTTAGAATGAAAAATAATGACAGACAATCTATACTCAACAATTTTTTAAAACTTGGCTGTGTGTAACTCCAAGTTGGTTGTGTAGATAGAATTAAACAAACTAAAGATATAAATAAAGGTATGAATCAGACAGTTTGCAACTCTTTCACCCCTGCTTGATAATGATTTAACTATTGCTTTATGAGGAAGTATGAGGTGAATTTTACTACATGTTTAGAAATTGAAATTAACATATTGTATTTGTGTATTGCCATGAATGCCTATGAGATAGGCACACTGTTGCAACCTGTTATAGTATGCCTTTCCTGTGGAATTTATCTTTCCTTGCATTGGATCGTTGGACCGAATTCTCTCTTAAAATGAAGGAGCTAGGCTCAACTTCCTTTGTCTCCCTAAACACGAGAATGCAAACTTTGGTGCTATGGAATTCAAAGCAACAATCTTTGAGAAATGTCTCAGCTTTTATCAAAGAGGTCTAACAGTACATACTGTGAGAGAAAGAAGGAAAAACTGTGATAGCTTGCTATTATACCCTTGATTAGGTTAGTTAGGCTGCCGTTAAATTAAATAACAATTTACAACTCATCCGAATCCCTGTTTTAATTCAAAATTGTAGCTTGAGTTGCTCAATGATTGTCTTCGGTGGGGTCTGTTCAACTGTGGTATACTTCACCAAAATGCAAAAGGACATTAAATCGTTTTGGACACGTTCTGAATATTTTTGACAAGTTGGCAGATACTTTTAATGCTTGCATTGACATCCCACTGTTTGTTGACCGAGTAAATGCCCCTTAAGGCAATCCTGTCCTCCACAGCATGAACAATATCTATTTGATTCGAGGGCATTTAAAGCAATTCCAAATTTTCGTGAGCATGTTTGGGTTCATGAGTCAACAGGTTCCGTATGTTGACTTATCTTCAACCTTTCGCTTAGTTCCCTTGAGTCACATAATCGAATTGCTCTGACTGAAAGAAAATTTAAGAAAATACAGCAAATCAATGGAAAAGTTTCACGGGGATAAACTCCATAAACCTTTAATTCTTCTTCTTATCCTGGTCCTTTTCTTATCATATCAGCTACCCTCTTCAGCATACACTCTCCCAGACAAGTATTTCATCAATTGTGGATCGAACATCAACATAAACGTCACTAATCGGACATTTGTTGGTGATTTGAATTCTGATTCTGTCTCCTTTACCAAACAGAACAGCTCTGTCACTGACAACAGGAAGGCATCAGAAACACCATCTATATATCAAACAGCAAGAATTTTCAGGCAGCAGTCCTCATATGAGTTTGAAATCACCACTAATGGTACTTACCTGGTACGCCTCCATTTCTTTAATTCAACGGATCTGTCAGCTGCTGTTTTTAATGTTTCAGCTTCTGGTTTTCTGCTCTTGCATAATTTCAGAGTCCAAAATAGTAGCAGCTCTATTCTAAAAAAGGAATTCATTTTAAGCATTCCTATAGGTAAATTCTTAATATACTTTGTACCTCGAGGATCTTCTTTCGCATTCGTAAATGCCATAGAGGTCTTTCCTGCCCCTCCGGATTTCATTTCTGATGAGGCTGCACAGATTAGTCAGACAGGAAATAGCAATGCTTACAAGGGTATACTGTCTCGTGCTTTACAGACAATTCACAGAATTAATGTTGGAGGCCCAACCCTTACACCAGAAAATGATACTTTATTGAGAACTTGGCTTCCTGATGACAGTTATCTGTATCATCCAGACACTGCAAGGAATAGCCAAGTTTACTCGGGTAGGCCTAATTATTTAGATCCTGTTAACGAATTTATTGCACCAGATCTAGTATACAAGACTGCCAAAGAGTTGAATGAAAATGCCAGTAGGTTAACAAATAACTTTAATATAACCTGGTCCTATGATGTGACTAGAAATGCTAGGCACTTCATTCGGGTTCACTTCTGTGACATTGTTAGTCCAGCACAGAATACTTTACGATTTTTTCTATATATAAATGGCAACTTCAGTAAGGAAATCAATCCTTATGAAACGGTGGCGCAATTGGCAACTCCATTTTTCATAGACTTTGTGGTTGATTCTGATGATTCAGGATTCATGAATATCTCCATAGGGCCTGATAGTGGATCTACAGAGCAAACAGCCTTTCTAAATGGGGTTGAGATAATGGAAATGATGGGGGAATCTAATGTGGTTCCTCTATCAAACAAGTCCAACCAGAAGTCTGTTTTTGTTATTGTCGGTTCAGTCCTTGGAGGTCTAGTTCTTGTCTGCATCTTTGGAGGTCTGCTGTTTATTGGTTTGAGACGCAGGAAGCCAAAACCTGTTCAAAGTTCAGATTGGTCACCATTAACTGCATATAAAGGAAGTACTCACAGTAATCGGAAGATGCCTCAACTGTCAAAACTAAGCACAGAGGGAACCAACAATGCTTCCCCTGTCCCTAATTTGAACCTGGGTTTAAAGATACCTTTTATTGAGATTCAGTTAGCAACAAACAACTTCGATAAGAAGTTACAGATTGGTAAAGGTGGATTTGGTAATGTCTATCGAGGAACTCTCAGAAATGGCATGAAAGTGGCTGTGAAACGAAGCGAGCCAGGGTCAGGTCAAGGCCTGCCAGAATTTCAGACGGAGATCATGGTTTTATCCAAAATTCGCCATCGTCATCTTGTTTCATTGATAGGATATTGTGACGAAGGTTTTGAGATGATACTGGTGTACGAATTCATGGAAAAAGGAACTTTGAGGGATCACCTGTATAACTCAAAGCAACCTTGTTTGTCTTGGAACCAAAGGCTTGAAATTTGCAATGGTGCAGCAAGAGGACTTCATTACCTTCACAAAGGTGCATCTGGGGGCATCATTCACCGTGATGTCAAGTCGACAAACATCTTGCTTGATGAGAACCTTGTAGCCAAAGTAGCTGACTTTGGACTTTCAAGATCAGGTCCTCCGGATCAAACCCATGTCAGCACTGTTGTTAAAGGAACTTTCGGTTATCTTGATCCCGAGTACTTTAGGACACAACAGCTGACAGAAAAATCTGATGTTTATTCATTCGGCGTGGTTCTTCTTGAGGTTCTATGTGCAAGGCCAGCTATCAATCCTACACTTCCAAGAGAGCAAGTGAACCTAGCCGAATGGGGAATGGTTTGCAAGAAGAAAGGATTGCTTGAGCAGATTGTGGACCCGTCCATAAAAGTTCAGATCAATCCCAACTCATTAAGAAAATTTGCGGAGGTAGCAGAGAAATGTTTGCAAGAAGATGCTGCTGATAGGCCTACCATGGCTGATGTGGCATGGGACTTGGAGTATGCTTTGCAGCTGCAGCAAACAGCAGTTGTACGAGAGCCACACGAGGACAGCACGTCCAATGCTTCCGGTATGTTATCATTTCCCGTTCTCCAGCGTTTTCCTTCCACGAGTGCAGAATTTGAGAGAGATGATATGCTCACTGTAAGGGAGGATGACTCTGACTCAGTCCCATCAGCAAGTGAAGTTTTCTCCCAATTGAAAATTAATAATGCCAGATAAATCATTCGGTTTACAAGGTACAGATTTCCCACTTTAATCTTCTTTGGCATGTATGTTTCATATCTGAAATTAAATTGATACTGCTTTTTTATCCTATACATCTCTATTACAGAGTTTGAACTTCATGATGTATAATATAAAGGTATTCCCTAAGATCATATATATTACCAGTCTACAATCTAGTTAAATTGTACTGTAAGAAGAACCTGGAGCTTAACTAAGTTGTTCATGCAACCACTTTTACGAGATGACATCCAACAAGACTAGAGTTCGAATCTCAGCACTTGCAATCACTCTCACATTCTCAGGTCACAGCCTTCTTTGTACCAAAAAAGGTATACTATAAGAGATGATTTCGAGATTATTAATCAGAAGAAAATATTTATTAAAGAAGCTATTTGCATTATCAATGAAGTGCTTCTGCCTGGTATCCAAACATGCATAAAAAATTTGGAATCTCACCAGGCTGACATGGCTTAGAAGGCTAATGCACAATTTTTACTCATTGATCTTACCAAAGAGCAAAAAAGAAATGTCTTTCTGATAAAAGAGTAAACTTGTATCGTAAGACAAATTTTTTGGGCTTTGAGGAGAACTATGAAGGTTACGTTAGGGTTCGAGATAACTGAGGATGGTATGGGCTACATCTTGGATAAACAACATCCGCTTCAACGGCAAAACCCCACCAGCCTTCTTCTGAAGAACGAAACTAGAAATCCTTAAATAAATCATTAATCAAAACATGGGTCTTGTTGCAGGACTTATCACGCTCACTCCATTGAAGACCTAATAATATGTTTTGTAGACAAAACTGATAAAAAAAAGTCAATACACCAATGCCACAAATCATCACGGGAATATGATATTTGTTTATTATTAACAGAGAAGATAAAAAACACAGACTACTTCAAGTTGCCAAGTAAACATTGAAGCCAGAGATATGAAAATGTGTTTGCAACTTATAAATTGCTCTATAAATTGTAGAATTTCTCTTTAACATGAAAAATACATCCCTTGAAGCCCTTGCAAATTCTTTGAGACTTTTGCCTTTAATGGCCTGTTGTATTGGTTTTTTTTTTTTTTTTTCCCGCAGCTGATAACTATACTAGACGGAATCAATAAATTCTCTGAAACTGTACACATGCTAGCTAGATACAGAACTTAATATGCATGTAGTATGTACCAATACCACACTCCTGACCAATTCCAGACCAGAAGGATGAAAAAAAAGAACAACATGATTCCGAAGGAGAGATCCCTAATGACCAGGGCCTTTTTTACTGGGTCCAGAAGCCATAGTTGGCACTTGTTGCTCTGCTAAAACAGGACCGCTTCTATGTTCAGCAGGATTTGAAGTTGAACGTACCCTAACATTTTTAACCCCGGGAACAGCTTCCTCTCTTTCATCTCCAATCTTGTTTGTTGATTGAAGGGGCCTACAACAATCAACAGAAGCTGACTCTGAAAGAACAAGCATGGTCAATACTACTAGAACCAGACAGAAGTGTCTCATTGTTAATGTTGTTTGTTGGTCTATGCTCTGAAAGTCGAAAGTCGTAACCCCTCCCTTTGTATGATAAAAATTATTGAGGCTTTGAAAATATTCTATCAATAAAGAGTGGAGCTAAAAAGAATGGTTAAGCATCTCCATTGAATGAGGTACCGCCCCTTTTACATCAAGGGGTGGTTTGTGCGGCGAAGGATAGGACGGTTTATGGCTTTTTGGAGTGGTTCCACCAAGAGAAGTATTTGACTGACTTCTAATACTTTTTCGTGATTGTAAAGAGGCGCTGAGTTTGAAAGCTAACTAGTTTTACATTCCCATTTGTCTGTTTCAGAACTCATGACTTTACACTTTACAGCTTGCTGCCAATTCCGGAAACCAGAGTAGATCCTTCCATGCTAATTTGCTAGTAGCATAAAACAGCCTAAGGTAAATTGTTCTTTTCATTTTTTCTTCCTTTGGCGCGCTTTTTTTTTAATTCGAGATTGTCTGATTTTGAAATTAAGAATCTAACACACTATCTATAAACAACAGATTACATAGCAATTAGCCAATTTTCTTTTTGTTGCTCTAAGCAGTAAATATCACTTTTTTCTCAATTATTAAGATTTAACCATTTTTCATGGACTGTTTATGCTCTCTTATTACTACTTTTTCCTGCACTGAGAAAATTTGGAAAAAGGAATCCAGGTTGGAGATAGAAAATGGGAGGTGCAAACAAGGAACAAAAGTACATATAATTTGATATTCTCGATGCTTTTTTATTGGTAAAGGAAAGTGAAACCATAACCCAATAGAAAAGAACCATTTTTTTAGTTTGACAGGGTTTTATGCTCCAAACATGGAGGTGTGTACCTGTAATTCCCAAGCAGCTGTCCTTAATTAATCCTTCCACTCTTTTTCTTTTTCTCATTTTCCTACTGTTTTCACAATGTAACTAGCTACACAGCAATGGCGCCCACCAAGGTCAAGGTATCAAGAAAAGTTCAAGGTAAATACACATATTTTTCTAGAGAAAGAGCCACTCAATGTGGGGAATCTCTTAATCTTTAATTTGTGAAAAAGGAAACAAAAGAAAACTTAAAAATTCTTCCCCCCAGGATTGGAGGGTCGGGGGCTGTTTCTGCTTTCAACAGAATCAAGTGGTCTACTTAAAAAGAATGAATTTGAAGGTGTCTTGGACTGTAAATATAAAATTATGAAGAAGATGCTAGGTACTCTTGTTTGGTTGTTATCGTCGTCCTAGATTTGTTGGGTTCTTGTTCGTTCTTAATTTGATTACTTACATTCTCATTGTCTCTCTTTCAATTTCACAACTGGTTGTCTCAACGGTCAGAACTCTTTAAATTTCAACTTGAAAGTTTTACATCCAATTCTAAGATGGTTGAGATGAAATTTATAAAATACAACAGTCATTTCTCTTCAATAATAATAATAATAACAATAATAATAATAATGATGATAATCTTTCTTTGTAATGTTAAAAGTATACAAGAAAGATTTTCGCATATTGTCGTGAGTATATCTAATAATTCATATAATTATATTATATAAAACAATAAGAATTTGTACATCCACATTATATTTTATACAAAAATTACACATCTTAATTTGTACCGACTTGTAAAATACGAAATATATTTTTAAATTTTTGTTGAAGTTATATATGTTTTTCGTTAAAATTTTAACTTATATCATTTTCACATTTTTTTTATATCATGTTATTTTATTATGTTTTGAATTGCTTGAACTAATTACAGTTCAAAATTTTTTTGCTTTTCCCTGTCCATCCAACATTTTTTTATTTTTGTAAAATTTATCAAATTAAAAAGATAGAATGAAAGAAAAACAGGAATAAAATGTGAATATTTTAATTGACCCATTTCTCTCATAAAATTAATATAAAAAATAAATACCACAAAATAGAAAAACTAAGAAAACAGTAAACAAAAAATGAATAAAAACAAAAAAAAAGTAAAAAAGAAAAAAAAAAGCTAATAGAAGGTGCATTGACATATCATATTGAATTTGGAATATAATTTTTTAAATTAAGGCAAAAAACATATTTTATTAATATAATACATATAAATCATGTTTGACGCATAAGGTTATTGATAGGATATGATGATAATCCTCTTATAATATATTTGATTTGTATCTAAAAAGAAAGATAAATATTGCAATAAAGATTGATATCCCCTTAGCATAGGATTATTCAATTCTCTTTAAGTTGAAAAGATTATTTTTAACCAATGGGATTAAATTTAAATGTCCAATTATATTTTTAAAAATTATATTAATAATTTAAATTGTATAAATTTTGAGGAATGATACCTTTAACAAATAAATAAATTATCTTATTTTAATCCTTGCATATATTAAACACAAAATATGATGACATTATTTAATATAATCTTATTTATAATATTATCTTATCATATTCTATTATAATCTTGTGTACCAAACATTACCATATATGTATAAAACTAAATAAATGGTAAAATATATACTTTTATATACACCTCAAAATGAGTTGAGATAAAGTACCATAAACATACTTTCAACCTGATCTCATTTTATCTTTAATAAGCTCGACCAATCTAAACATAATCTTAATTAAATAAATCATCCCTTATAGAATTGAAATGGATTAAAAATTATCAAATATGAATTGTTTTGGCATTTCTATCAATTAGTACATTTCGCTGTAAAATTTATCTAATTAAAAAATATAAAAAAATAAAAAGTAAAAAAAAAATTGGGTGTCACATGAATACATTCATAGTAGTTTTTACAAAATAACTCTTAAAAAGATAAAATTCTTAAAAAAAAAGCAAAAAAAATGAAAGAAAAAATTAAAAAAAAAGAAGAAAAGAAAACAATACTGCATGAACATCCCAATTGAGTGAGGATCCATTAGATACAAATTGTTTTACCGTTCTCATTTATTAGTTCCTTTTGTTGCAAAATCTATTTAATTAAAAAATTAAAAAAATTGGAATGTCACATAGGCACGTACATTATTTTTTAACAAAATTTATCTAAATTAAAAAATTCAAAAAAATTTAAAAAAGCAAAAAAAAAAAATGGTACATCCCAACCTCTAATGAGAATTAAACTAAAGTTAAAATGAGTTAAATTTATATAATAAATAGATGGTTAAATGGATAATATCTTAATTATATATAAATATAAATTTTTATTAATTTAAGATATTAAATAATAACGTTTTTTATATAATACATACATAACTATAAAATTAAATAAATAAATATCTATATTTTAATATATAGTAAGGCAGTAAAGAATACCATAAATCTACATTGGACTTAACTTTAATTTTTAGTGAAAAAACTTGATTTGATCCAAAATAAAAAAATGTGCACCTATCGGATCAACACTAATCGAAACCCATTGACTATAAGTTGTTTTATTATCTATATATTCATTAACTTTTTCTTAAAAAATTAATTTATCGATTACATTTATTATCAATTATTTGCTTAAAAAAATAAAAAAATCAAAAGGCTAAAAAGGTGAATATGGTGCCATATATACACATATGTTGGTTTTTTTGAAATAAATTTATCTACTTAAAAAAACGAAATATATAAATCTTTTTAAAATTTTACCTTTGATATCATTGATTAAAAATATCCTTTTCTAATATCATTTTCCTTATACCATAAAACTAAAAAAAAAAAAAAGCCTAAAAAATGAAAAATTATTAAATCTAAATGTCATGTTGACACCTATGATAAGATATTTTTAACAAAAATATCTAATAACAAAAAAAGTACAAAAATATTTTTAATTAATAATATAGAATTGACCAACCTATAACAAAAATTAAAAAATATTATAATATTTATTAAATATAAAAAAGAAGAAAAAAACCCAAAAAAAAAAGAGAAAAAAGTTGGAAAGCAAAAAAATTAAAAAAGTGGAGTCAGCATGTAACATCAGTAATGATAATTTTTTTAAAAATTTATATCATGGATTTTTTTAAAGAAAACTACTAAAAAAAGATTATAAAATTCAAATTTAGATATAATATGGACAATTTTGTTAATATATAGTTTAAAAAATTATCAAATTAAAAAGGAAAAGTAACTAAAAATATATTTTTAATAATAATACAAAAATGTGTCAAACATTAAAAAATTTAAAAATATTTATTAAATAAAAAGAAAAAAATTATAAATAGCGAAAAAGTTGAAAAAGTAAACAACTGGTTATATGGCATACCTTTGATATCAAGTAAATAACTAAAAAATGTAATATAAAAAATTATTTATTAAATATGTAAAAAAAGAAAAAAATTAGAAAAAGAGCAAAATGTAAAAAAAAAAAAAACCACGTGTCATGCTTTTAGTATCAAGTGGATATAACAAAAAATTTTATAAAAATGATTAATTAAGTTTTTCAAAAAGACAAAAAATTGGTATAACTATCAAGTGTGTTCTAACTAAGAAAAGATATTTATGAAGCATAAAAAAAGACACGTGGCACCAAAAAATTAAAAAAAAAACAAAAAAA